TGGCATGTTTGGGGTCGTCTTGAGGTGGGCTTTCGACCGGCGTTGAGTTCCGGTCAAGAGGGTGGCCGGAGATGGGTTGTCCGGCGTTTTGGCAAGGGTAGGTTTTGGCAAGGCGGCATTTTCGCAAGGGTAGGTTTGGGTTAACAAGGGAGGAGTGAATAAGGGTTGAAACTTTTCCAAATAAGCGTTGAAACTTTTGGCAACGTTTATTAAATGTTGCGAAAGGTGGGACCTTTCGCAACGTTTAACAAACGTTGCGAAAGGTCCTACCTTCCGCAACACTCCATAAACGTTGCAAAAGGTCCTTTTCGCAACGTTCCTCTAAAAAAGGTTGCCAAAACTTATTTATATTAATCAATGGCAACATTTACTTACTAAAATGTTGCCAAAAGACCTTTTTAGCAACATTTATCAACAAATGTCGTCTTTTTAATGTTGCAAATGATTTTTTGGCGTAGTGTCACCTAGCTACTTTTAAGAAAATTATTGTTGATTTGGAGATATTGGAGTCAATTATGATGAAGAAGATTTGAGATTGATTTTATTGTGTTTATTGTCCGCTTCATACGTGTCTTTTAGAGACACGATTATATACATTAGTGACACTCTCACCATCGAAGTACTCTATGATACTTTGTATTCAAAGGAGCATATGAAGCATCTTGTTGTATCTGAGGTTCATAAAGATGGCCTTATTATTGATCGTGGTCGTCCAAGGGGCAAGTTAGAATCTAACTTTAAATTTTGTAATTATTGCAAGAAAAAATGACACTTGATAAATGATTGTTATAAATTGCAGAATAAAGCAAAATTGACTGCAAATAAACAACTAGAAATTTCATGGGAATCAAGTATTGTAGAAAATCTTAACAGTGATTGAGAGCTTTTACTTATGTCTGACTACAACTTCAAACATGATGAGGCTTGGATTCTTGATGCAAGTTGCACTTTTCATTTGACTACTAATTGAGATTTGTTTTCAACATATGAAGAAGTTTCAAAAGTTTTTGTGATGACCGGTAATGATACACCTTGTCGGATAGCTAGTCTTGGCAGGATGAGAATAAAGATATTTGATGGGATGATTAGAACACTTGATGCAGTGAGATACGTTCCAAATCTGAAGAGAAATTTTATCTCCTTAAGTACTCTTAATTTAAAAGGGTATGGATGCAATGTTGAAGATGGAGTTTTAAAGGTTAGTAAAGGAGCCTGTATTTTGTTAAATGGACATAGAAAATCTCATTTATACATCTTGCAATGTTATATAGAATTTTTGAGTAATCAACCTATTTTAAGAACTCCACTATTAGCCTTGTTTGGTGATCATTAGATCACTTCTGCCTCTAAGTGAGGTAGCAGAGGTGGAAAATATTTCCAATTGAAAATTTTGACGGAAAATTTCGTTTGTATTTTTTATTGAAGAGTTGAAGTTCATTACTTGCAGTAGAATTTGTCTCCAAGTGGAGATTTCCAATAGAAAATTTTGATGGAAAGTTTCATTGTATTTTTTATTGAAGAATTGAAATTCATTCCTTGCAGCGAAATTTGTTAGAACTTGGGTGTGAGCCGAATTCTTTGTTGAAGATAATTGGGAATTCTAATTAAAGTGCACGTTAAGAAAAATTCTATTTGGAATGTTTTTGGGAATCCTATTTGAAATCTATTTGGCAAAATTCTAGTTGACGTTTTATTTGGAAGCCCAATTGAGTGTTGAAATTTGAGTTGAACTTGAAGAGATAAATATATGGACCAGGGATAAATTTTTGGCGCTTTTATGCTAGTCTACCTGTAGTCTACCCCCACGAGCAATGCCGTCGTAATTCTGTCCTAAGAGCTGATGCTCGAATGGGGGTGTTATCTACCAGACTCGTTTCGCGTTTTGATGCATTTTGAGCATTCATTTCCATCTATAACTCTACTATTATGGTTTGGATGTCCTCTATTTGTTTCTTATATATAATTGACTCTTCATTATGATTTAGAACAAATTAGAAACATTGTAAATACAAAATCTTTGTATTCTTTCTCCATATTATAATAATATCTTTATTCTCTGCAAATTATATTGTTCTTATGTTTTGTGATCTTTATTTCATAGTTCCTATAATCTCGTGTTTTCTTCAATAAATTGGTATCAGAGCAATCCAATATCATCTTCGTTTTCAACAGGAGAGAAAATTGGCTGATACTTCTGCATATTTATTACAGTGTACAATCTCGAATTGGACAAGTGTCTTTTATGTCCGTGCAAGTATGAAATAGGTTTTTGGAGGCAGATTATACCTTTCAAGGGCCAATCGTAGTGATAATGGCATCCTATATACCCTTAGAGGTGGATGGCTTTTTTTCTGTTAAATGCTTATTGTAACCACTATATTTTCAAATAAAAAATGTTTTGGAGGTAGTGAAACCGGCTTTGAGTGTGATCGCCAAATTGATAAAAAGATGAACAATAAAATTGCAAAACATAGCCTCGATACGCAGATTAGTTTCATCAGCATTCACATAAATATTTTACCGTAGTTTAGCCCCCATTTTAATGAGATTTTGGAAATAATGTATTTTGGAATAGTAATTTTTGAGAGAATGTGTGGTTAAAAAGGAAGAAAAATATTTTGCTTTTTGTATAATTTTTTTTTTTTTATTGGAGAATGTGTGGTTGAAAAGAAGATAGAGAAAAAGTTTATTAAAATTTTAATGAGGCCAAATAATGGCTATGTTAAATATAGGAACACGACGCTTGTAGCAGACAAAGTCATCTACTATTGTAAACATTGAGTTCGAGTACAAATGCAATGCATAGTATATTCAGGGATAAAATCCCACGTCTAATAAGGGATAACATTCTACAACTAATAAAGATGAAAATATAGACCAATTTATAAGGATTTGGGCTACTCCTCTTAATAAGGTTGACTTTTAAGATGGAAGCTCAATTCTTAATATGGTATCAGAGCCAATTAAATTTTAAAGTGCAATTCAATTCGATTAAGATCCTAAAAATGTGAGTACACGGATTTCAAGATTAGTTTACTCAAACGAGCCACCATTTCGCGGATGTATGTTAAGGGATAAAATCTCATATCTAATAAAAATGAAAACATAGATCAATTTATAAATGTTTGTGTTACTCCTATTAATAAGATTAACTTTTTAAGATGGAATCTCAATTCTTAACATAGTACACAATTTTTAATCAACAAATAAGTAAAAAAGACACTTGTCGACATTCATCAACAATGAGAGGTTCTCAAACTTTTCATAATTCTTCGAACATCTCAAGTCAAAGGTTGTTCTCTGAGTAGTATCCAAGTTCTTCGAAAGACGCTGTGCCAAAACCAGCTGCCAAATTTGAACATTCTTGAGTGAAGTCAATGATTCTATAGGAGTGCTCGAATTTCTCTCAATTTCGAGCCTAAGATACAAAAATCAATTCAGGAAAAGTGAATTGCCACCTTCAAATTGCCAATTTGAAAAACATTTAAAGAAAATTATTTTCTTGTTATGCAAAAAAAATTTAGTTGGATATTCTGGAAAAATAAATAATAACAATGCAAAAAAGAAGTAACAATAACAAAAAACTAAAACCCATAAATAAAAAACTAACAAGACATCAAATTGAGGAGAAATTGGACTTGAATCAATTACAAAGAATCCTCGAATTGAAATAGATGCTGAATAAAATAAAAAAAATTGGAAAGGAGATTGAAAACAAATTCCGAATCCTTACTCATATTTTAGCTATGAATCTTCAACCTAATCCCCCATTGATGTCAATTTCACAAATCTGTTTTTTGAGATGCCAATCGCTGGTGGCTGGATAGGAGATGGTGGGTCTACCGATGAGGAGTGCAAAGATTTGTGTGTGAAAAAAAAAATTCCTATTATGAAAAGGTAATTAGTGATTATAAAAAGGTAAGTATGTTATTTTTAGATACCTAACCTAAATATACTTTTTTAAGGATTTCAATGTGAATTGATGGAGACTGTTAGAATTTTATAAATTTAAGGGTGTTAAAAATGTTTGTCAAATGTATTTGTAGGTGCAACGCTCCCCATATATATACACATACGGAATTTGTATCCTAGGTACCGGCGCTTATCTTATGTTAAGTATCAGGTGACGCGAAACGTTATAATAGATGGTGTAATCTGTTTTATAACCAACCATTATCTCCTACCATTAGGACTATAAATTACTCGGATATGGAGTGAATCTACCTATATTCGAATATCCGATTCAATAATCTGATCCGAAAGTAAAGAAATTAGGAAAAAGTTCAATGCTGGAATTAACCTTTTTTTTCCCAATTCTTAAACTGGTTTAATAATTATAAAATTTTCAATTTTTTTATATTTTGAATTTGATAACTTTTTTATTCTAAATTTATTTATTTTAGTGATAAATAACATGCCATAAAAATATTTTACCAATTCAATTATTTATAACAAATCGGATCACATTGTTATCAGATAGAATTGACATATATCCATATTTGATCCATTTAGCTAACGGATTATCAGATTCGAATCTTAATAGGGTTATCGAAATGAGACCTTAAATCCATCTCCTATTAATTTCATCGGATTCGAAACAAAATCCAATCAATTGACAGTCCTACCACCACCTATTGTAGTGTACCATGTTACCTCCGAGTGTTTAGCATAAATTAAGCACAGTATTTATGAGACCAATTATGTATGTATGTATGTATGTATATTCTCGTGCCTATATATGGGCGTGGGAGTTAATATTCCCACCGCTAACTGTAAGTGTTATGCCCTAGGTCCAATCAACTTTGGACATAAACACTTTGAATATATATAATCAATGCATATGTATGACAATATCTATTATTCAATTGAATTAATATTCTAATAAA